TCTTCTTCTTCTTCTTCTTCCGGATTTTCTTTCCTATGTGGTCTAATTGGAAAAAAAAACAGAATTTCATTGGCAAGCCGTACAATGTCATGTACGGGAAGCCGCCAGTGCACGCAGCGGTAGCGACGATTCTCGAGCTTGCAGAAGAACATGGGATAAAGGGGCATGCGGCTGCGATACGGTGGACAGCATTTCATAGCTTGCTGGATGCAGAGTGTGGGGATGGTCTCATTTTCAGCGTTTCCAGTGTGGAGCAACTGCATAAGACGCTGGATGCCCTGGAGGCTGGACCGCTTCCTGTGGAGCTTGCAGAGGCGATTGCTGAAGTGTACAGTATGGTTGATGGGGCTGAACCGCCGTATCATGTGTAGAATGAGGGTGGTGAGTCAGTGTTGGGTATAGCCTCATGTGTAATGAATCGTTCTACAGTAATTTGGGAAACGGATTCCTGGTCAGCGGTTCTAGCATTGTCTTTGTGTGCCACGTGCTTTGTTGCTATACCTGACCGCGCGTACATGGCCCCTTGATCTAAGATGATGAATTGCGAATACGAGGTAGTGGAAAGATGCTGATGCAGTGTCATGAAGATACGCATATGCGGACCGATTCTGCCTCACAAAACCATTCTGTGCAGCAAATCTACTGTCGTACCGTATCTGGCGACGATGACATGTGGAGTCGTATGTGCTGTCTCCCAATTCTATCTCGTCGTGTCAAACAGCGGTGTGCCTAGTCGGTTCTACTTACCAACTACCTACTTTCATCGCCAGCCTTGTTATTGTCGTCGTATTCGGCGTTTTGATGAAGACGTAGCGTGCCGTCGGGCCTGTACATCATACGGTTGATCGACACGGGAACAGGCCGCGGGCGGTTAAATCTAGTGAACGCCCAAAAGCTTTTCACAACCATGAGACAAAACTATATTGTGGTTTTGCCATCGGGGCTTGATACACGCTGGTTGTTTTGCAAGTTTGTTGCATGGCATGCTGTAAGTGATATCTGATAGCTATTGTTGTAGTGCCCATGCTGTATATGAAGATAGTATTTATTATAGGTGGAGAACAATAGTAGTAGAATACAACATCACTTAAGGACCCGCACCGTTGCGGCTGAAACCCCTTCTTGGCAACTGATGCGAAGATCCGCAGTTGCAGATGACAGCTGATTGGCTGTGTGATCCACTCAACGCAGTAACTCGTCACGCATGCAATGCCAAAGGAAACTCTGCCGGGTGGAGAATCTAGATCCGATTACACTAATGACTTGCACAATGTACTATGTTCTACACATCAACCAGGGTCTCGCCTATCTGGTCTTGCAGTGGGTATTCCACTTTAAAATTCTCAATCAAGCGGACATGCCCTTCACTTCTCGGCTTGATGCTATACGAAAAGTCGTGCAGCCGCATGATCAAGCCAGGGGTGCCGATTCGTTGCGGTACAATCTTGTTACCCTTTTCATCTATGGCATTCGTCATGTCGAACGCAGCCAAGAGGCGAGCGACGGTAATGAAAACGGTTTGATCGGCTACGAAGCGCCCGGGGCAAACCCTACGACCGAAGCCAAAATTTGCGTCGGTGGGATCCGGCTCATTGCGGGGCGCAAGAAAGCGTTCAGGATCAAAAGAGGAGGGATTCGAATACGTCTGCGGGTCGTTCAAAAGCCACCATACAGATGCTATGAGGTACGCTCCTTTGGGGATTCGGAAGCCGCCATAGCTCATTTGTTCGTCGGCCTTGTGCGGTATGGCTAGCGGTGCAACAGGATGCCATCGAAAGACTTCACTGACTATGGCGTTGACGTACGGCAGCTGGTCTCGGTCTTCAAACTGCGGTAGTCTGCCGTTGCCGACGACGGTGTCAATTTCCTGTTGCGCCTTCTTCTGGACATCTGGGTAAAGTATCATGGCCAGGATGAAAGCATAGAGGGAAGCAACAGTGGTATCTGAACCACCGCCATACATGACAACAGCTGTCTTCTTGATGACATCATCTGTGCTTGCTTGGATGTTGCCTGACTTCTCTGCCCTTTCCTTCTCCTGCTCAATGAGTGATGAGACATAGGATGGTTTGTGAGTCCCTTTGGCCATCTCCTTGCGCACGTATTCGTAGGGAGTGTTGAGCGTTTTGTTAAGCTGCTTGTTCCAGTCTCGAGCTGTCTGCTTGAACGACGTGCCTGGAAGGCCCTCGGGAAGATGTTTGAGAAAGGGAAATGTATTGACTGCCCATGCCAATAGATCGGATGCCTGACCGAATATATCCATTGTCTCTTCGATCATATGAACCAATGGATCGGGGGAGTCGGGAGTGATGGAATAACCATACGTGATGCGAAGAATGACGGCGCTCGCTTCACTGTAGAGGCGGGGCTGGTCAGCAGAGATCAGAGCAGTGATGTGCGGCTGGCTAGACTTACGACTTGACGTGCTTGAACAAGCCGGCTGGGTCGTTGAGAATGTTCCAAAGAAAACGGTGGGATTCAAGGTTCTCTACTTGCTTGAAACGTTCGGCCACGAGCTTTGTGCCAAAATGTTTGTGGATCATTTTACGGTGTTGCAGGTAGGTGGAATTGAACGACAAAAGGTTCAGTAGCCCCCCGAATCCGCACATGTCTGCAAAAGCGAACGAGGGTCGAGATGAGGTTATTTTCGAGGATTTGGTCAAGATGTCGCGTATCGCATCACGATCGTGGAGAAGAATGATGGGCTGTCCAAGCATGCTCACGGAGCTTACGGGACCGTAAGCGTCCTTGAACTTGAGCCAGTGTTCATATTCAGGAATATTGCCAGGAGGCCCATCTGTGACATTCCCAACGATGGGGAAGCCTTTTGGTCCAGGTGGAAGATTGCTGTTATTGTCTCGCAGCTTCCTCCAGAGCTGAACACATAGGAGGAGCCCCAGCGTAACAGCAATGAGAGATAGCATTTTGGAGAATCCAAGTCGGCAGTTATTGCCTAGGGCGAACGAAGGTGTGTAGCAAAAGCTTGAGCAAAAAGACAGGTTGAAGTACCTCGTTTGATAATCGATCCAACTGGTTTTGGAGTGGGACGCTGTAGCCCTCCGAAGTCAGCCCAGACTATTTTCCATCCATAGGAAAACGCGGTATGGCGGAAAAACACAAATGCAAGCCTCATGATGGCGGGATCCCTGATCTAACGGTGCCATGCACGGGGAAACCCACAACTACGGCCCGATTTGTGGGGGTTAACAAGGCCCTGCAGGTCCCAACGATGACACTTGTGGGGTTTGGTCATAGCCTAGATCTAGGAAAGAATTCGTTAGCTTTGTAACATTGAATATTTGCCGTTATTGCCGCTGGAGAGATTGTGTTATTGACATGTGGGCTTGTCAGGATTTCCAGCTGCACTCTCCGGGGTGGTAACATGACGCTGAATAGGAACAATCTAAATTTTCCATCATCAACTTCACATTGAACTGTGTCTATGCTCGCCATATCATTCTTTTTCCTTCTAAAAGATGTCAGTAAGGGTGAAGCAGTCGATACTATCCAACCAGGGCTTGGAAGCACACTTGGGCGGGCGAAACACGTGTGCGGCACCATTTAAGTAGATGGCGTGGGCAGTTCCTCATTTGCCAAAATGAAAAAATTGATTGTGAGATTTGTTGTACATTACCTGAGTCAGGAAGGAAGTTGTTCGTCTTTGGACGATATTGGGAAAGCGCAATTTTCCGTTCATTGCGGGTTGCGTGATATCAATTTTGGGGATAAGTTAAGGTCCATTGCCTTTTTTTTGGAGGGTTCACTGAGACATGTTTGTGTAAAACAGATATACCTGAACTGATATAGGAATGAAGACTACAATCTAAGCCAAATTGTAGTCTAGTGACGTCGGAATATAAAGTTGTCCAGATCAGAGGCAGCCTAGTACTGAGGAATCATCATCATCACCATGATGAACTGGGACGCATTTACCGTCAGCTTGCTGACAACTGTCATGCCATCAACAAATCGGAGAGTTTCCTGCTATGGGAAGCTGCATGCCTCAATGTCTCGCGCTTCGCCCAAAGATATCACCCAAGACAGCCTCGTCGACTAGTCTCGTCGACGGACTTGGTATGGCACAGAGACACACTAGCCATCCGGAGCAGGATATTGTGGTATCATACTTGCCCAAGGGCAAAGCAGTCCCACTGAAGGAGCTTGTGAAGCCGATAGGTCCCGTTTGTCCATGTATTTCCGCATAAGGACGACGTATGCGCAAATATCTAGTAGATACTGTCACACGTATAAACTCCCCACTACGACATTGTTCTTTGAACCAAGCTTACCTTAGCAAAGCCATCAACAACACACGGCCTAGCCTAAGTACTCGGATGCCTGAGCGCAAGATATATAAATATATAATATAGTAACCATTGAAGGATTTTCGCACATGGCGCTTCTCCCGGCGCTCACAGCTGGAGAAATTGCGAGCATAACCCCCTCCCGACGCTGTCAGTCTATATATGGCGGTTGACTGGATACTGTGGTGGATAGAATTTTCTAAAACTGATTGATACCATTGCGCCCACTAGAGATGAATGAGCATTAGCGCACCCTTCTGACGCGTGTGCGCTGATGAGCATGTGTGACAGATTGCCGTGCGGCTGATGTGAGTGGCTTTGACTTTGGCCTTGCGAAAGCCATGACATACCGCCACTGGTAGGGTGAGACAGTGACTGCTGGAGTCGTTGAGATATATGCTCCCTTGTTGTTAGGAGAGAAGTTAGATCAGGGATGCATGTTCACAATAATAATGGAGAAGGGAGTAGCGCCCAAGTTGCTTGATACTGCAGAGTGGGTCGAATAGTTTGATTATCGGGAAATAGATTAGGCAGTAGCCGCTGCTAGGAGACTGACGCATGTCGCTCGGTCGTATGACAAAGCAGGATGTTTGTGTTGCTAAGGTGTTTACATGGAGTTTACATGGCGTTCATGTGATGGGTACAAAAGTGCAATGTCGCTGGCAAGAGAAGACAAGGAAATGGACGGGTGACGGTCTAAATGTGAGTCTTGTTCAAACCCTTTGTGAAAAGAGGGCTCTGGCGGACACGCTCCCAGTCGTGCAACATGACAGTATTTGCTGTACAGTCGCGAACCTCTGCACCCCCGCGCTTGATGACTTCGTCTTCATAGGCAGTGATGGCAGCTTTCCGATCTTGGCCAGCGTGTATTCTGGTGATGGCGTCACACAGCTTCCCTGCGTCTGTGACGGAGTGGTTGAGGCCTTGTCCGCGTTGGTACGTCATGGGGTGAACAGCGTCGCCGACCATGGTGACGCGTCCGTTGTGATTGTCCCAGCGATGAGCATGCAGGCTAGGATCCCACTCGGTAAGGCCAAGATACCATACGGGTGTGTCGTCGGGGGTCCATTCCAGGGCGCTCTTCCAGGGGTCGCAGAACTGCTTGGCAAGTTCCTTTTGCTGGGCGAGGCGTTGAGCGCTGGTCCAGTGCTTGGTGGCCTCTTGCTCTTCTAGGCTGCTGCGCCACGAGATGTAGTAGAAGAAGGTCCAAGTCGAGGGGTCATTTGCATCTGGGGCATGTTGCATGCCGAAAAAGGCAAAGTAGTTGTTGGGGTGGGCCGAGGCCAGGTAGAGGGGGTGAAAGGACCTCAGGTGAAGGGCCTGCTCCTTGGTGAAGGTGGACTGGACAAAGGTGGCGGCATAGGGAATGGGGTTGATGGCGCCCAGCTGGGGGCCGAGCAGGAGGCTGCGGGTGACAGAGTGAGCGCCGTCGGCGCCGACGAGGATGGAACCCGTGGCAGTGGAACCGTCGGCGAAGTGGGCGGTGACGGAACGGCCGTGTGGGGGATGCGAGATGGCGTGGAGCGGAAGGTTGTAGCGGATGTCGATGCCGTGGGACAGGAGCTGACGCAGCTTGCTCCGTCGCAGGCGGTAGAAGGGCCCAAAGGTGATTGCGGCGACGAGCTCGCCGGTGTCACCGCGGAGCCATTTGAGCGTGTCGAGGGGCTTTGTGGGATGGTTGGGGTCGACCTGGAGACTCTGGACGTGCTGCTCCCACCAGCCACGTGGCATGAGGCTCTGCAGCACCGGGGCCGCCCAATGCAGGCCCATGTTCCAGTCGCGATCGCCATGAGCAGCGCTGGTCTTCTCGAAGACGGTGCACGCGATGCCGGCCTGGTGGGCGCTGTCAGCACTAATAACACTGTGGGCATGTGCTATATAGTATGTTCGTGTGTACAGTAGTACCAAGTAGTGCGACAGGCTGGCTGCGAACACCACAAGTACGTGTCTGAGTACAGTACTCTACTCTACGTACCTTGGTCAGGCCTTGGGCAAGCGCCAGGCCCGTTATTCCTGCGAATCAGTAAGAATAGGCACTTTTGCATGTGTGGCCCGCTGCTGTTGCTGCACTGCCGTTGAGGCGGCGTCATGAGGCGTACCGGCACCAATTATAAGGACTCGGTTGTGCGCATCGCCGTGTGCTGCGTCTGCTGGTGCTTCTGCTGCTGCTGTAGTACCGCCGGAGTATGCTTCCCCCATGATATCGTCTGATGATGATGTCTCGTCCAATGCGCAGCAGTTCCAGAACGACGAGAATAAACTTCTGCACCGGCACCGGCAAGCTCCACGCCAACGCTATCAGGCCACCACCACCACCATCATTGCCTGCAACAGCCGCGCGGACCGAATGGACCAGCAGCCATTGCATGCCGCGGCTAACAAGCTTTGCCCGGGGCAACCTGGACTAGTTTGGCCGTGTTTGGAGAAGGAGTTGGAGGTGCAATATACGCACGGCGTCTGTTGGCTTGCCCTTCACCCATTCACACGCGGCGGAGGGCGAGTCCGGCGCAGGATCGCCCCGGGGGGTTTCTACGCCAATCCGGACCCTCGCCCTCCATCATCCAGCCCTCGACACACACGCATACCCCATGTCCCACGCCTCGGCCAAAGACACGACTGTTCATGAGCAAAAAAAAAAACGGACCAATGCCATTGCTTTGGATCAAGTGCATTTCCCTCGACTCGAGCACCACGACACGACAAATACGCCCCCTGCTGCTCAATTGACTAGTCATACTACTTGCTGCCTTTACTAATATGTAACCACACCCCTCGGCCCGCCATCCCCCAGGACACACACACACACTTTCTCTCCCTCCATCACCATCCTCATCTCACCCTCCCCCCTCTGGCAATGGACCCGTCCAGCCCGCACAAGCCTACGCAGGCTGCCGGCATCCATCTCCACCCTCAGGACAGCGCCATGCACTTGCAAGACACGCCCCATCCCCCGCAAACTGCCTCTGCCTCGCCATACCCCACGTCGCACACGTCCGACACCGTCACCGACGACGACGAAGCACTGGCCGGCTCCTCATCCGACTCGGGCTTCGACAGCGGCAGCCTCTTGGGCGACGGTACCGACTCGCTCGCTTCCTCCATCCTTAACCACCGTATGGAAAACGGCCGCCAGTATCATGCCTACCGCGACGGCGCCTACTGGGGCCCCAACGACGAGCTCGCCAAAGAGATTCTCGACTTTGCCCACCACATGTACCTCTTAACCCTCGACCAGAAACTGCACCTGGCCCCTCTGCAGAATCCCCAGGCCATTCTCGACTGCGGCACCGGCACAGGCATATGGGCCATTGTGAGCACCACACCACACGCGCCCTTTGCCTGAATCCCCACTAACGTGTCCAGGACATGGCAGACCAGTATCCATCTGCCACCGTCACCGGCACGGATCTCTCACCCATCCAGCCCGAGTGGGTCCCGCCAAACTGCCACTTTGAAATTGACGATGTTTCTTTAGAATGGACCTTTCCCCCAAACCACTTTGACTTTGTCCACATTCGCGAGCTGTTTGGCTGCATCCCGGACTGGGACTTTTTCTTCGCCCAGGCCTACCGCCATATCAAACCCGGCGGCTGGATCGAGATCGTAGAGCACTCGGTGTGTCCCATTGCCGACGACGATTCCATGAGCCCGGATCACTTTTACCATACCTGGGGCAAGGTCGTGGTCGAGATGGGTGACAAGTTTGGCAAGAGCTTTACCATCTGGGAAGAGAGTGCAGATAGGTTACGGACGGCCGGCTTTGTCGATGTCACCGTCGTCGACTTCAAGTGGCCAATGAATGGTTGGCCTACGGACAAGAAACTGAAGAACATTGGCAGATGGAATCAGCTGCGCCTCATGGACGGAGTCGAGGGCTTCATGCTGCGGCTACTGACTCAAGTCGGCGGCGTAAGTATTGCACAGTATCAATAGCCTTCCTACTGCCTACTAACTGTGTACAGTGGTCAGTCGCGCGAGCCCAGCTCCACCTAGCCCAGATGCGCAAGGAGCTCAAGAGCTACAAAACCCACGCCTACCTTCCTGGAACCGTTGTCTACGCCCGCAAGCCCTTTCGCACTTGAGGGAAACGGCATACTACTGGTGACATGTCTTCCATCAGTACTTCCTGTGCATAGGATACAATCCAATCACCAGCAAAGGTGATGGATGAACGGCCAGAATCTTCTTCCTAGTAGTACGTTCCGGCATCAGCGTCATCACGTACATCCTTCAAAACCGAGGTTAGTAGCGCAATTGCAGCTACCTGGAGCCATTTACGAGCATACTACCTCGGCTTCGGAAAATCACATGTCGCGTTCGCACCTAGTAGACAGTCACGTGATTCTCGGTAGAGTACATCATGGCACAGCCTTACTTCAGCATGGACAAGTTGATGTAAGTACCGTCATGATTGATGTTACATCTCCCCGCTAGTCTTTCTAAAGATGAGGGCTAAACTGGACTCCCTTTACCCTGTCTATATTACAAAAAGGCTTTCGCGCACTGGCTTCACACTGGACCCTGTAGTCGGCAAGCACCTTTTCGGGATCGGTATCCTGGAGCTTGGTAATACGGTGTTCAGTAGCGTGAAATGGCTGAGGTAGCGCAGGATACGAATCTGTGAGCTGCGGTGGGCTGTACTGCAGCCCCAGAGCGTCTAGCACAAGCGGCGCCAGGGATGCTGAAGATAGCAGGATGCGAGGCATTCCTTTGAACTGCAAGTTAGACTAATGTCTTTTGTCAAGTAGCGTAGAAGAAATAGAGACGTACCATGTCCTGTGTACCCAGCATTAATGAACTGATTGCTGCGATTCGGGAGGGCGCCGACAAACGGGAAGCCATCTGCACTTGTTTCGTGTGCTAAAACATATGCCATTAGTTTCCCGACATGTTCTTGTATTCTCCTCACAACTCACCACCAGTCCAACTCCCTCCCTTCTCAACATCAAACCCCAACTCTGCAACTTTCGGTCCTGGCCAACCCACTACATCCGCCGCCGGCCACGTCTTGTAAAACTCCGGTACACCAGGTGCCTGCTTATCGTCTTCATCGTTCAAAATGCTGATTTCAGGGTAATGACTGAGTAGTTGGCGGGCCCCGCCTATGATGATGACGTTGTAGGGGGGTGGTAGTTGAACGTGGTAGTTCTTGTATCTGCATTAGCATTTCTCTGGAATCTATGGATTGGGGGGGGGGAAGGGGGGAGCGTACATTCACCATACCATCCCACTGCTGCGCCCCCGTCCGCTTCAACAAGCCCTCGGGTGCCTTGATGGCTGCGATGGCACCTAGTTGCGGGAGAATTAAGCGTTCGAATTCGGGGAGGAGGTGCGAGGCCCAGCGGCATGTGGCGTGGATGACTGTCTTCGCGCGGAGGGTGCCGCGCGGCGTGCTGAGCGTAGTGTAGCCTGCTGAATCGCGGTCGGAGACGCTGGTGACGGGGGTGTGCGAGTGCAGGGTAAAATTTGGGGTTGTGAGGAGGATGCGGAGGAGGGCGTGGATGAATTTGTAGGGCCATCTTCACACCGTGTTAGCGGGACATTTGCTGATGATGGGGGTGGATCAAGGGAAAAGGGGGGAGGAGTAAGGAATACATTTGTCCCGTTGGATGCACAATGGCTTTCAGCGCTCCTTTCATCTGCGTTACTTCTTCTGCTTCGGCCTGGTCTTCGATCTTACGGCATAGCTTTACGATTTCATGGTCGTCGCCGTGGTCTTTGCGAATTTCATCGAGTGCGTGGCTGAGTCGGCTCCATGCTTCGTCCGTCATGGCTGCGTCAAAGGTCTCACCGAGTTTCAGGCATACTTCTTCTGTGATGCCTTCGGCGTCGCAGAGGTCTTTGAATGCGGCCAGGTGCGCGTGTTCGTGCCGGATTAGGTGCATGGCGCCTGCTGCGCCAAAGCGGTCGCGCCATATGGGGTATCGAGAGTAAAGATGCGGGCGTAGTTGTCCTCCTATTTTTTTTTCAATCTTCTGTCAGTATCCAGGTGTAGTATGTAGTGGGTAGATTTTGATATCACGTGCGCAACCGACTTACCATTTCGCCCAGTAGCAGCGCCACATACATCGCGTGCTTCTAGGATCGTCACTCGCGGCTGTGTAGATGCATGTTCGGTGTACTAAAAAAAACGGCGGCCGCATATGTCAGGACAAGGGGGCTTTGGAATTGCTGCGATTGGGGAAACACCCGTGGGGTGTGGATGCGTGACATACTTTGTGGAGCCAATAGGCAGTTGAGACTCCGGCATAGCCACTGCCAATGATTGCAACATCGGTTTCTTCTTGGAGCGTCTCGCTCGATCGGTAGTCGCGCAAAGGCGACTCGGCGGCTTCAATCCAGTATGATTTTGTGGGGTTGGGTTTGGGCAGAACCATTGTTACGTCGTAGCAGTATTCAAATTGTTGGACGGTTCAGACAAGACGTTGTAGACTTGGCTTGCAGGCAGGGAACATGCACGTGGTGCTAGTCTCACTTATTTCAAGACTTTCAAAAGAGATGTCCATGGTAATACTCTTGTACCGGCCGGTGATTGCACCGGTTCAACCATGGGGAGATGATGGTCCGATCACCGGCCCGGCATCTGATAAGCGGCGGGGTCTCTTCTCCAAAGCTCGTGCACCACTGTGCTACGAGCTGTGACCGGGTGGCCGGCATCAGGTTACTCGGACGCGTAGACTCATGTTTACAGCATTATTAAATTCGTATTTATCTCGAGTCTAACTCTTCAGTCCCACATTTCAACCTCTCAATTGCTATCCCTCCCTTGCCAATTCGTCATCAACCCCGCTTTACAAGAGACGACCAAACAGATCTTGAAAAAGGAGGAAACAAAAGGAAAAATGGCTTCACCAAAAAAGCACGTCGTCTTCGACGTTGTAGGTACCTGCGTCTCTTTCGACGCCTTCTACGAAGCAATCAACTCCGCAATTGGCGCCAAACTCCGCCAACACACCATAACCGCCCAGCACTTTGGCTTCACCTGGCAAACATCCGCAGAAATCGAATTCACCTTCTTCTCCATCCACGGCGGCTACAAGCCCTACAAAGACTTACTCTCCGGCTTCTTCTACCGCACCCTCAGCCTCTGCGGCGTCCAAGACCCCAAATCCATCTTCACGGATGAGGAAAGGGATAGATGTGTGGAGGGCTACTCGGCGCTCAAGATGCGACCAGGTTGCCACGAGATGTTCCAGATACTACGGGATAACGGATTCACCATCTGGGCACTTACCACCGGCGACGTCAAGCGCGTAAGCGGATACTTTGAGCGTGCCAACTTGCACATGCCGCTTGAGAACCTCGTTAGCTGCGATTCCGTTGGTGTAGCGAAGCCTGCGCTTGCGGCCTACCGCGTCATGTGGGATCGGCTGGGCGAAAACGATATCAAGTGGTTTGCGGCCGGTCACATGTGGGATGTGACTGCCGCGACCAAAGTGGGGTTTCGAGGCGCGTTCACGACCGTGTATGAGAAGGATGCTTGTTTGGATGTTTTTACAGAGGCCAAGATTGAGGTTGTGGAGGATAGCATGGTGGGGCTGGCTAGGGCGATTGTAGAGAAGTCCGGGTGAGATGATCTTGGAAATAAAATCAAAAGTACATCTCGATGGTGTTTGTAATTATTTGGTAATCATGCGAGCATACACTTCTTGACCGCTTGGATTTACCGCTCAATGACAACGAGATTCCCTTGCTACGAGGCGGTGAGTATGTTGACAGTGCCCTCTCATGCCCAGTCAACGACAACCATCTAGGTACTCAAGTATTCTAAACAAAACATCTTGCTCAACTCGAGGTTTGAAACTCGGGCATACACTACCACTGTCCCTGCATTACTGCAAGCTCCTAACATCGGACCTCGCCTAAAATAGTAACCGTATGGGGTATCGCGTCCGCCTAGGCGCTAGTGTCAAAGTATTCGTCTTCGTTATCAGATCTTCTTTTGTCGCAAAGCCTTTGCCAACGCCTTCGTCATGATTCAGTTAATTGATGTCTCTAATCATGACTTGGGAATAGTCGAGTTTTCTACTTGGGCGTTTTTCACGGTTTATCTACCGATAACTATGAAAATACGACTAAACTGATTCTGTTTTGATCACGACTGCTTCTGGGCATCACTCTTGACTTTGGGATTCTCAATTACCCCTCCGAATTTTTGGCTCCCCCTAGAGTCGTCAGTAATTCCATCGTAGACTCTGGTTGCAAGCTGTGGGTAGTTGTCTTCTTGATGCCGGACTTGCAATGTCTTGTGATCAAGCCTCCAATAGTGGCGTTCCCGGCATAGGCCCTTTTCCGTACCAGGTCATGCTTGCACGGAACCACGCTAAGATTTGTCGAGTGCTGACTTCCCGTCTCCAGAATTTTCCAGACGCCGTGGAAGAGGCCAGCTGGCTGCACTAATTGAACAAGTACCAGGGCATTCCGTGCCGTCTCTGAGTAGAGACGGCTTGATGACTGTGGACCATTAGCGTGTTTGCGCATAGGTGTGGCAATGGGAAAGCTCCAGGTAACAAGGACAACAGTCACGTCAAATAGTTACTTGATAACAAGGACTAAATAATCTCATCACGATCAATGTCAAAGGACGCAAGCATCGACATGGGACGTGTACACTGCGGGTGGTGGGACGAGTGATAAAAAGCTATGGCTGCAAGGGTCCATCGTGGAAAAGGGTGGGGTCGCGGGTCTGGTAAGCAAGACCAAGACAAAGGTAGCTAGTTCTTAGTCTTCATAAGAGGAGAGGATGCGCGGCTAGTCACTAATGCTACTCGCCCAGGCTTGGACGTCTTCTCGGCTGTCATTCTTATACGGAAGGGTTAGTTTGACTGACAAGATGGGGCTATAGTAAATCCATTGGACGTGCTGATAACCAAAAATTGGGTAACCCTCCGATCATCCAGGTGCGGTGTCGTAACCCCTCGCAGTGGTTGGGTATTATCTATCAATACCACATTCATGTGCATGGAGTACTACACACCATCGGCACTTGAGCCCGTCACGTGCGCAGGGCAACCGGGCCGGTTAGAACAGCCATCCATGTCTATCCAACCGTGCCGGCTATATTCACTGACCGTGCCGGTTGCACGACCATCCAACCTCCACTATCCACTTCACAACGCTTCCGGTCCAGTATGGAGCTCGAGAACCCAAGGCCCACTAAGAAGCGTCAATTGGCGGCCGGAGAACGACAACGGGCGGTGCGAGCGTGAGACTACACCCGCCTATTGCCCAGTGTTCCCAGCTGCGCCCAAGACCAGCGCTGACTTGCTCTAACTAGTTGTGACGAATGTCGTCGCTTGAAAGAAAAATGTGAGGGTGGCATGCCATGTAAACGTTGTCGCCATTTACGACGGACATGTGAATTCAACAATGCCTCTGCACCAACTGCCAAACGTGCACAAGAGCCCATGACCTCGTCCAAGGACCTCAAGGAGCGCGTGAAGTACATGGAGGCCATTCTCCATCATCACCTTCCGCAACTGCCCTTGGACATCGACACCTTACGGCGCACGTGCGAGTCACTACCTACCTGGTCACCTGGGTCCGACCGACATAGCACATCTGGCTTGGCCGTAGAAAATACTGCACACCCGTCAGCTGCCGATAGTCCTGGCATCGAAGACGAGAAGTGTACCGTTGAATATGTTGATGATACTACAGCTCGTATGTCGCTACCAAGCTCCACCCAAATGCACCAAACTGATCCAAAGCTTGTACGTGATGGCAGATTACTCTGGTGAATTCTCACATTGGAACTTTTCCATGCACATCAAACGAAACATTGATGAACTAATCGCCAAATCTAGTGTCCAGGTAGGTGTGAGTGTACGTCTTCATTCAACCTTTCAACCCTACATCGTAAAACTATGTGCTCATAGTATTCTCAGACTTTGGAAGAGGTCAAACGCGTTCCAGATTTCTTCCGCGTTCCCGAACCTGATCCTGGTTCGACATCTATTGCAGATATCATTGCCCTAATTCCTCCTCGCCCGGTAGCTACCTTTTTGGTCAATGTGTTCTTCAGACATGCTACGAGCTTTTACTATTGCGTCGACAAGCATTGGGTCAAAGAAACGCTAGAAGATCTTCAGACAAACTCGGCACGCTTACGTTCCAAGCACGTCCCTGCCGCTTGCGTAGTGTTGATGGTACTTGCAGTAAGCACTCAATACGTGCACTTGGAAACATCAAATTCAAACGGCAGACGTGGACGCAGATCTTCAGCCGATTCTGATGCTCCTGCTAACTGGGAGCTGGACGTCGGTTCTACCTTCTACCGTCAAGTAGCCAAGTCTATTTCTGAACTCATACATGCTGGTTCTCTACTGAGCGTACAGGCGTTTCTTTTACTCGGCTTTTACTCCTTGCCGCTCGATGCATCTGGACTGGGCTACATTTATCTGAACCTAGCCGTTAAAGTGGCCATCCAGAACGGTATGCATCGAAGAATATCACGGGGCGCTTTCGATGCAAGATCAAAGGAGATCAGACGGCGCATCTGGTGGACGGTGTATTGTATGGAAAGGTCCGTGTGTTCGGGGGATGATCGCAATACTTCCGCTTACAGTTGTGCACGTGTAGGAAGATTGGCATATATCATGGCCGGCCCGCTTCCATCTCACGCTCCGATATCGACTGCGATCTTCCAAGCAGTTCCACTCCAAACAGCATAGATGGCGACACGTTCGATGCAACTGGGTTACTCGAATCCATTGACCTAACTTGCCAGGCAGAGGCATTTCTGCACCAGATGTGAGTTGATCATACGACAAAGCTGCCATGATAAGATGCACATGGCTAACGGTACTGCCAGCTCCCAACTCCGAACATGTCCAAGACAAGAAGCTTGGCTAATCATGGACCGCCTCAAGCAAATGAAGACTAAGCTGCCGCGGCCATGGGCGTTTCGCTACCGCGATATATCATCACCTTTAATGGGAGACCGTTTAGAGGTGTCAGAGTCCCGTGCGCGACTTCACGCCCACTTGGAGTGTTGTCTGCTACACATGTTTATTGGGCGGCCTTTCATCCTGGCCCATCGCCAGGTGCGAGAAGAAGACCCAAAAGACGACAGTGCCGCAGAGCATTCGGAAGCAAAACCTGAAGCTACGCCCGCTCCCCCACATATGCGCTGGAACTTCCTGGTTGAAGATTGTATCGCAGCTGCGAATGAAGCCATCAACATTTGTCATGGCATGCAGATTGGTAGTATGGGCCTCTCAAAAGCGTCCTATGCCGAATACAGTGCCTGTCGTGCATCACTCCTGGTCCTAATCGCGTATAGTATTTGTCGTCGTACCAACGAATTCTCAAGCAACTTACAAAAGGGCCTCAACGCGATACGGGAAATGGCCTCAGTGGGTGACTCCGCGCGCTCAGAGGTACTGCTTCTCGAAACCCTGGAAGCCGCGCTGAATCGGCTTCAGGCTTTTGATATAGACTGTGACCAGAGTGTATCTGACACTGGAGAAGAGATAGTCCAGGATGGCTACGAGGGTTTACGAGATTGGTACACCAAAACAGCTGGCGCCATCCGTTCCCGTGCTAGTTCGTCGATACCAATGGCCAGTGATGGGTCAGGGATAAGGACCCAGGGCGTGCCGCTTTGCCCGCAACCTGCTGCCCATGGTATGGAAATACCAACAGATGGCATTCCAGAGAGTCGCCCCGTCGATGATTATCCTTTTAATCTCGACCTTTTCAATATAGACGGCAACATTGCTTTCTTTACCTCCGGTGTCAACAACAACGGCAACGTGGAAAGCGAATTGTTTGAGAACTTCCTAAATGGGGTGCCAAGGCATAGCCTTTAGCCAACGATAATGAACGAATACGAATTTCCTAACGCAAGCAATTCCTATACTTCCATGTTGAGCAAATACAATTGTATTAATAGAGGGTGTATCGACCAGGCGTCCGTCTATAGTTTTGCTGCTGTGACAGTTTGACCTTTTTGAACTCGTTCCCACGTCTCACGAGCCGCATGTTCTTTTCGCTCCGACCATCTTTCTGGAGTAATGCGATATGGCAAAGGCAGATCAACATTCTCCGTATCTCCAGTGAGAGCCATCACCGCTACTGCTTTTGCCGATAGGAAAATCTGCGGCATGCCGTGTCCCGTGAAGCCGGCGCAAACGTATTGGCCAGGTCGTCCGCAGGCAGGGCCGACATACGGGTACTCATCGTTGGAATATCCCATGACTGTTGTAAAAAACGAGTTAGTCAAAGTCATCTGGTCACTATGCGCGCTCGCTGTACTACTTACTTCCGGTCCACAAATCTTCCGTGCGAGCATCACTGCTCTCCCATGCGAAAAAATGCCGCTGCATATACCCATCGTAGTACTCTTTCCCAGCCTCAATCAACTTGCTATCGTCAACAACATCAAACCAATCATCCAAGTTCTTGTAGAAATCCCGCCGTCCACCTCCCACTACAACACTGCCATCTGGCCGCGGAATCATATAATCGTACTCGTGATCCGATAACCGCATCATGTAGCTGTGCTTCAGTTCCGGTGCATTTGGCGCTGTGATGTGTGCAACCATGCCCCTGACAGGTACGATTTTGCCTTTCATCTCGGGAACCAAGGCAGATGTGTACCCATTTGTAGCAAAGATTACTGTCTTTGTCTTGACCGTTCCGCGTGCAGTCTCAACTACCCACTTGTAGCCCTGCGTGTCATCCTCCATAGCCCGGACGTTCTCGACAGGCGTGAACGTTTGCAGGTTGACTCCTTGGACCACCGCTTTCTGCAAGAGATGCGTTACCAGGCGGTAGGGTGCCAGGCGTGCGCCGCTGTATGTGTGACATGACAATGCTCCTTTCACACCAGATACCTGTTTAACCGGTCAGCATCGGAAATACTTTGCCTATCCCCCTGCAGTCATGTCTCCAAATGCACGAACCTCTTCGGCCTCCTTCCCTGTATAGAACCTTATCATCTTTGCAGTGGAAATACCCGCTTTGCTAATGTTGTCGATACTAGCCTTCATCTTATCCCGTCCTTGGGCATACTTGCAAATATCCATCACAGTCGTCTCTTCAAAGTCGCAATCAATCCGCTCACGCTCAACGAGTTCCTTGATAGCGGCGACCTGTCTTTGCTCAAACGATGCTACATGCTCTGCGACGGCTGCCCCATGACTATCTAGCAGACCGGCTGGCCGTGATAGCGGGTCTGGTTTCAAATGTCCACCTGTTTATGTGCGCTGCCATCAGCAACTTGCCATAAGGTTTTCATATTTCTTACTACAAGGAAGTATACATAGCACATACCATTGCGCCCCGTAGCCCCTGAACAAGCCTCGCGCGCCTCGAGAACTATTATCGAAGGAGTAGCCTTGCCCGCGCGCAAACTTTCTTCCACCAAATGATGTACAATCGATGCGCCGGAATATCCAGCGCCAATGACTACAATGTCTGCCGTGGGAACAAGACCGGTGGTACTGCGATGATTATCGATTGCAGCAGGTTGTTTCCGCCAATAAGACGGCAGGGAATTTGGCACAGGAAATTGGCTGCTGGGACTGCGCTGAGAAGTTGATGACATGATGGGCCTGGGGGAGGAAGAGGGGTTTTGTTAAATTATGGTAACGTCTGGTACCTTGGCTGGCTGCGCAGATATCGTAGCAGGCGATGTACCATGTTAACCTTTAACCGGGTGGGCTGCGTGATGTGATTCGATTGGGGGCTTTTTTTTTGCGGGACCGGGCCGGCGTTTAGTAGCGACGTTGGGGCGTTCTTGGAGGTCATCAGGCGATTGCCGGTGTGGGTCGGGCGTTGACAACCTTTACACACAACAGGTTATATTATAATCTTTTTAACCACAAGGATAATTGTAGTCGGAATGCTGTTGTATAATATGACAGTTCATGGCAGAATGATGTAGAGCTAGGCCTAGGGTTTTCGAAAGTGATCTGCGGAGATCGCAAAAGGAGCCCTCAATGGACAGAGATCACACAACCCTTATCTGGAGCACGTTGTCGCATGTACATAGGGCCATTCTGATGGAACGAAAATCATTACAAGACAACCGAATATAAACATTCTAATACTACTTAGCTCTAAACTACATGTCCTGATATCTGCATGTCCCTTCAACACGCGCCCTTCTTCATTTCGTTTTCGGCCAGCCATCGAATACAAGATCGTCATCTTTCCCGTCATCTTCTATAATAGCTTCCCTGATCGGCCTCTTTGGCATCTTCCTGATCAACATGGACATGCTCGGGATCGTAAAGACCAGAATGGCGATGTTGACGTAAAGCGGTATGGCGTGGTCGATCTTCTTTGCTGAACTCAATCCGTACGACACTGCTTGACCCGCAACTTCAAAAGCGCGGAATACACCTCCCGCTCGTGAAGCAACGGCGACTTCATCGGAAAGAGTACTGAGGATCCAGTACAGGGTAAGCTGTGTCCAGTATCCGCTGATGAAGAGAATGATGTAAGGGAAATAGGCTCGGATCCATCGGGTGGGTTCCCTGTTGCAGTTAGTAAGAATTCTAATGGATGAAGTCCATGTAGCTTACAGTCTGTAGTCAAGAGCAATCTTCTTAGGTAGGGTATGGTACTCTACCGCAACCCAGACAAAGCAAGTGATTTGCAATGCTCCCCATACTCCCATTGCAACCCATGCTCGGGTCCGCTGCGTCCAACGATTGGTATCCAGAAGTTTTCCGAACAGTATGACAGTTGGAATCGTAAGGGTAGCTGCAACTATTAGTACGCGAAACGAAAGATCAATCTTGGGAGATACTTACGGACTAGGAGGGAAGACAGAGCGCGTGCACGTACGGAGAAGTGAAGTGATAGATAGGTGCCCATGGTACCCCCATAGAAGAAAGAATAAAATGCGGGAAAAAAAATGAGCCATGTCTGATTACAGGGTTAGCATACGACACTTGAGAAGCGGGCTTCACTCACAGTCCCTTGCGTCAGATAGCTGGCTAGAGCCTTGAGCTCCTTGATCCAGGACTCCGCCGGAGCAATATTCACTTTGGTGTTGTCTCTGCGGCGGACTTTCTTGGTCTGTGAGAGCAGAAGAGCCCATACAAGACCAGTGCATTCTAATCATCGTTAGTACCTCTGCGATTGCATCAGAGATTTTGACATACCCAACCCAACGAAGATCAAATATGTAGACCATGCGATTCCTCCTGCGTTCGAGTCTTTATGATTGTTTGAGAAATTGATGGCACCTCCAATTACGCTACCACTGTTTCGCATTGCGGACCAGATTCCTATGCTCTATCAGCAGCAAATTCCTTTATACGTTTAGTAGGGTAATTCATACCCAGGTAAAATCCTCGTTCTTCTGGATGCGGGTAGGACAACATGGCTGTCGTTTCACCAACGTAGAGGAAGCCGGACGCAAATCCTTTGATCAACTGTTCATGTGAGCAGATTTCCGACATAATCAGAGTTTAAACATACGCTGCCTGAAAGCAGATACGCATCGTTCTTGAATCTGGCATTCACGTAGTAGGCAGATCCATGGAGCGGCATGGCTACAGCTGCGATCAAACACGCCCACTTGATGCCAATCTTGTTGATGATGGGACCGCCAAAGATTGTACTGAGGAAGCTCATCGCGTAACTCAACGATTGTCCAAGATTTGCAAGCCAAGGAGTAGACAATCCACCGCCGCCCAGATTCGTGATAGCATCTGACATGGCTGGTCCAACCAGGGATAGCCTTAACAATGATTTAGCTAGTCGTTTTTTGTGGAATGGTGATTTGGCACTTACATTCCGAACAAAAGCATCTGGAACAAGACGCTGCGATAAAATGTCGCCATCTTAGAACGAGGGCGTTCCATAGTGCCAACTTCGGCGTGGAATCGTCCGTCGTGTCCATCATCCTCGGTCATGGGGACCATTTTGGTTTCGCTTTCTGATGATGAACCCATGGTCTCTGGCTGGGCAGAGGACAAGAAGGCACAATAAGCCTTAAGAGTGGCGATCACGGTTCCACAGGGCTCCAGTTATAGTATGACCCTTCCGGGGTACCCCGCGTTTGACTAGATAAGAGGATACCGGCCCGGTTCGTATCGCAAGGTAATCTCCGTGCGTCAGACGGGATGGAAAGAGTTAAGCATCAGACCATGCTCCAGTGCACGTTGTTCGACCTGGGTCTACCCATAGCTGCTGCTTGACGAACCTATGGCAGGCAGCTGTATATCAGTTTACCGGCCGATTATTATCTATCAACGTTTCGCGTCCCGTGTTCTCACCTATCACGCCATAGTAGTAAGATTATCGACAGCTGTCGGTAGATGGACGCGCATAATCGAAACTTGGTATCGTAGAAAAAAACAGCCTTATACAGTAAAGATACGCAAGGAAGATGTCGGTTCGTTTACCGGGCTCAATCTGGTAAATGCGGAGTGGTACGTAAACAGCATGTGGTTCTGAAAATCATGATCAAGACTTTAGAATTCTGCTTCTTCTCAGTTGCATGTCGCGCAGCGAGTAGAAACCCATGTGTACATTTATTCCCTCACATGTCAGCCTTTGCACGCGATATTAAGAGCTGGGTTCCAGCCCCTTTCACGGGAGAAGGACCCAGAACGCTGCTATTGCGGCTAGGAAGAAGTGCCGGCGCATTGAGTGACATAAGTCTCGGTGCTTTGTCGTGTTTCGATTCCGCAAAAGAAGATAACCGCTCACAACACCTAGGCTACCTGGAGGTCTTGCAATAGCGAACCGTATGGTTATCTGAGGAGACAGCTGATCGATGCCTACTGTAGCCATCACTTTTCTTGATTTCAGTGCAGATCCCATTCTTTCTTGTCCTCGACACGCGGGGAATCTAGTTTTGCATTGACGGCACCCTGCATCAGCGCTAGTAATCGGTGCCAATATATCCGAAAGCTTAATTTCGTGCAAGCGAGCCTGTCGGAAAAAACACTTCAGATAAGCACGGGATCGAGACTAAGGACTCTGCTTGCGACGTGCTGGCGTGCATCCGATAGGTGTGTGCCAACTTGGCTATTTTTATGGTCCAGCAACGCGAAACCGGTTGAGGAACTAAGGAAAGAGCACAATCACGGGTAATTCAAATCAGGACCTTTCCGCGATGACTTTGAACAGCACCATGTGAAAAACTTACCGGACAGTTTGCTGGAATGAGGCCGTTGCGCAGGAGCCGTGAAACAAACATGGATGAGAAAGAAGGCACAAGAGCCTCAATGCATAGCATGGGAGAAGATGTTCGGGTCTTGGTTGATCTGTGACTACGCCTGTCGTCTGGGTTCGTGTTTCTCCCAAGTTTCAAGCATGTGTGTTATTGAACTGCATTTTGTTCAAGTCATACTGACCGCACTGACAACTGATCCTGCTGCTTGACCTTAATCTCCCCCATTGCTGTAACACGACGACGGCATTATGAAACAACGACTTTGTCCGACATAAAAAGTTCGATAGCCCCCTATCTTACCATAACCCACTTTCATCCGTTCATCCGTAATGACTTCTTAGTCTTGATCACTGGAAAGCAGAAACATGATTGCCATGTAGAGCATACAATAGAACTCCCACCGGGAATCGCTGAGGTGGAGACACTTGTCAAGGATCTCTTCGGAAATGGGTTGTAATCACAATGACATGTCTGAACGATGATGGCTGAGACATAGTGCGCCGACAGGAGACTAACAAGAACGACCGTGATGCGCAATATGGTGGTGGGATGGTAATGATCGCGAGTAGCGCTTTTGCCGTCTGTGTATATCAACTCCTTGCACGCCTTCTCCGAGGTCACGTTTGCGATAAAGCCGTTGCCATGTACTTCTTGTGCCATGCCATTGTGGCATTACTGTGCCTCTACACAGCCAGAAAACAGAAACATCGATTGATTGCGGATGGTAGCGCGATGTGACACGGTTTATACCTAGGCGTGGTGGTTTTGTTGCGCGTTATTGCGTGTTGTATGTTGCGAGAGGGCTGCCACAAGTAATCAGCTTCGAGCGCGCTCTGATTGGCTAACGTCGCTCTCGCCTGTATTGCGACACCGACAGCCGGATGGTGTGCTTCTCTGATCAACGCCGCATCGCGTCGCATGCGCAAAATACAAATGTGCCTCTTTAGCTATAGCCGGACGGTACGGTTTTTTTGAGATCGTGATGCGCTCTTGGATGTAGTTTTTAATGCGCCGGCATTCTTCCAGGTCGCTCATCAGCGAATACATCAAGGTAAATGCGGCCAACATTTTGGAAGCTGGCGATTGACTCAGAATGTCAACTGATTACAGATGAAGACGGCGAGTGCAGAGGTTGATCTGGTAGGAAGGGTATCCGATTCCATACACTCAGTTGATTTGGGTATCCTTCTGACTTCATTAGTCGTGGTGGTAGCCTCCCAGTATCCGATTACATACATCTGGAGAAGCAGATACGAATCAAGGGCTTGCATTTAGATGATGAGAATGATCTTCCGCCAAAGCCCAATCGCTGGCCACTCCACGTCATGCCAATTTCTCGGCACGATCCAAGATCCATGGCAACTCCAAGTGATGCTGTCACTTTGCGATTTCACTATCCCTGCTCTTTTCTTCTCCTTCATTATCTTGTACTCTGACAACATCCGCACTCTTCTGGTTCACAGTATTATCTTCTCTTTCATTATTTGTATTAACCTGATCGGCTCGATCCCCTCCTCTCTCATTGGATGCTACCGATGCATTTCTCCTCCTTTCCCTACTCGGTCTTCTCAAACCAGCCACATATTCTGGACGTTCCGGCAAGTCGTCCCCGGGTGTTCGCACAATGGGGACACCATGCAAGGCTCCAGGTGCTGTATTTGTACCAGATAGTTCCGCTCTTCCTGGTGATGACATGGGATCTGCTTCAACTGCTTGCCTTGGTGTTTCCAGTTCCTTTATCTCATGGCCATAGAGTTCCGCAGGACTGTTCTCGTTAACAGCATGAAGCTCATACTTCTTTGGAAGAGCTGACGCTTGGCTGGATGGTTCACTGGTGTCAGGGAGTTCGTGAGGGCTGTGACGTTTAGGGTATCGACGACGAAGAAAGAATGCTGCAATGGCGATGATGATGAGTCCTGCAACACCACCGCCGGCACCGCCAGCAATAGCTCCTGTCATGCTCTTCTTCTTAGGCGTGAATGGAGTTGAAGAATTTCCTGGTGCAGGGTTTCCAGAAGTAGTACCTGGAGATGGCATGGTTTTACTTGGTGTTGCGAAGACAGTCTTCAGACCTTGTTCTGTCCAACCCACGGCGGGCTCCTTTTTCGTAGCGTTCCCATTCGCGTTTCCACCAGTCGCGTTGAACACATTGCTCGGAACCTGGAATTCTGGTCGGTCGACTGCGAAGACACTACCCCATCTCAAAGCGGTCATGTCCCATACTGCAACCCCTTTCGTTTCCCAGTCACATTCCAGAGTTGGAGTATTGCCGCCCACCGTGATCATCTGACGTTTTCCAGCAACATGGCAATTGTGGCCCCATCGTGGTGATTCACCCAGAGGCCAAACATTTGTCCAGGTGAATGATGGTAGAGTCAAAATTACAACATCATCATAGGCCTTGTTCGTGATCGGATTTCTGCCACCGTATAGGTAAATATGATGACTCGAGTTATCGGGTGATGAAATAGCCACTGTGCAGAAGTCAATGCGTGGCTCTGGTACATTTCCCGTGGTATTTTGTGAATACCAAGTCCCGTTGCTGTCTGGGTTTTGGAGGTAAGAGTCGATATCGAACACGTCGACCGTCTCAAAGTCAATCTGCTGTAGTGTAAGATGAATGTTCATAGACTAATTGTTTTACTCACCAATGAGCCTGTGCTGACGTTGGCAAAAGCGCTGGCAAGGTTAGGTTGTATCTGACCACCAAGTGCTACAAGCGCTCCCATACCACCAATCGAAGAAAAGTATTCCATCGTACCTCCTACCCTAGGAGCACCGCCTCTCAATCCGGAAGTCGATACGTTTTTCCCACTCCGCGATTTGAGGTCGAGAACAACCATACCCTCCATAGGCACATAAATGTCTTCGGTTTTCGGGAAACTATCAACTGTCCTTGCTGAGGTACCCCAATCGATCTGGCCGTTCAGGTAGAAGGCCAAACCTTGATCTATCGCCTCAGTCACTGCGCCATGGTTGGGCGTCCACTCCGTATCTCTTGAGTATTGGTCCCAGGGGTTGCCAGATCCATATGTATATGACCACAGAGGGTAGAATGCTGATGGATCTGGCCGCGTAAATGCCTCGAAGGACTGATTGCCCATGAAGGTTGTACCGCCGTACACGTACACATTGGGTTGATCAACAGGGCCGTGGAACATATGACCCCGAATGAGGCTGGGTGGTGGTGTACCGGTAGTCGGATTCTTTACATTCTTAGCTTGAGCATCCATGGTTATATTCGACTTCCAGTCCCATGTCGAGTTAAGAGGGATGGTGATCATGTAGCTGTTTATGCCTAGAATCGGGCTGGTGACATCCGTGCCATTCCATTTTTGTACTCCACTATCGACGTACAGGATGTCGTTCTTAACGACCGATTGTGCCCCTGTTGGTAGTCCGTATCAGCAATCATCGCCTGAGTCAATTATCAATCTCCTAGAGGAGTGAAGGGTGGACCAAATGATTACGAATAACACCACTCACACCATCTCGAGCAAAAGTTCTCTAGTGGATTCAGACGGAAGTTTTGTGCGTGTACGGTGGGTGAGATGTAGACACTACCCAAGACGAGATACAGTAGACTGGTTTGTGTCAACTGGAATAGTCTTGAGATGAAGAAGTCCATGTCATTTGAGCGTGCCACAGACGCTCACCTAG